AGTAGATGGTGTTCCTGCAAGCCCAGCTGCTGTGTTGGTGGTGCTGTGGGTACCTCTGGCCCTGGCGTGCTGTGACTGTGTTTGTGTTGCAGCTCAATAAAGTCCCTTTCAGTGGTGATTGTGTCATTTTGGTGTCAGTTGCTCTCAGTTCCTGTCCCCTCTTCCCCTGCCCCAGTGGCTGCATCACTGCCTTGTGCCTAAATGAACTCTTCCCCTGCAGCAGTTCCCTGCTGCTCTCAGAGAGGGTGGAGTTGAGGCCCCTGAGCAAAGGGCAAAAGGATCCATCCAAGGCAGGCCCGTGCTCACCCCCTGCATTCCTCCAGCCTCCCGTGTTTCCAGTTCCCCTCCCTGCTGGACACACAGCCTGTTCCCAAACAACCCCTGTTCCTGTTCTCTCTCTGTGTCTCCCCTCACAACTCCCCTCCTCTAATCTCCAGCTGCCCAGGCCCCTGTTTTTGAGGGGCATTCCTGGGCTGCTGTCCCCCCCTTCTTTATAAATGAAGTGCCGAGAGCCCCAAGTGCAGAGAGGTCTGCAGGGAAGAAGTGCCAAGAGCTGCCTGTGCCTGCCTGTGTTCCTGCAGTTCTCCTTCCTCTTCTCCCTGGGCTGGAGAGACCTGCCTGCCCTGTGTTTATTGGAGCAGAGGGATGGGATTAAATTTGTCCAGCAGGTTTGTTCACGGACACTTGTTTTCTGACAGGCAGTGCCATTTTCCTTTTGCCTTTCCCAAGTTTTTCCAAGTGCTGCGCAGCACGGGGATCCGTGTGCTGGGACAGTGATTGGCAGGAGGAAGGGGAGCCTTGGCCTCACCTGCCCAGCTCAGGTGGGTGGCAGAGAATTGGGGTGGGCTGGCAAGGCATGAACATATTTCTGAGTTCTGGAGTGCCTTGAAAGCTTTCCCTGTCAGCTTCCTCTCCCTCCTTTCCTGGGCTCCAGCATCCCAGGTGTCTCTTCCTTTGCCCAAAGTCCAATGGCAGAGGATTGACTAACTACCAAGGGGGGTTTGGAATGAAGACGGTTCTGTTCCAATGGGGCAAGGAATGCAGTAGTAAAGATGAGCCTCCATTCAGTGCCTGAAGTAGAGAGGAATAAAGATGCTGGAAAAGGCCACGTTTCCTTTGTTGTCCCCCCTGGATTTTTCATGGCTCAAACTCTCTAGTGAGCAATTGAAGAGAAGGGTGAAGGGCAGGAGCCTTTGACTTGCCCAGTGCACTTAATTGCCTTGTTCTCCTCTCTTCCAGGCCAGGCCAAAGCCCTGACTGCAGCCCAGCTCTGCCAAGTGCCCTGGGCTGGGAGCAGCCAAAGGCAAGAGGCTGCAGCCCCGCCGGCCGGGCTGGGGGCCCCTGGTGCTGCCCGTGGGGTGGGGTAAGTCAGAGGGACACCTTTCTCTCCTCCTGCCTGTTGGCATTTGCTCCCTGGGCACTGGATGTGTAAGGAAGGACGGAGTAGCAGGGAAGGGGAGTATTTCCAAACTGTCTGAATGTTGTCCCCGGGTTTGGGATGGAGCAGCCATGGGGGTGGTTGGGTTTGGCCTGGGCCGGTCGGGATCAGCCATAAAGGACCCACCAGACCCCTGAACCCTCACTGGACATGTCCAGCCCCTCAAGTTGTTAATTTTCAACAGAGGACAAGCAAGTGTTGGTACTTGCTTCTGATCTGTGGAGAATTTCCTTTGGAATGATCAACCAGGGAATGTATCAGTGCAAAGCATCTTTTGGGGTCTTTTGTTTGTTTATTTGTTTGTTTGTGATTTCCTCTCTGGCTTCAATGAGTTTGGTGTGCTCCTGTTAAGGAAGCAGCATGTTTTTATCTTGAAATTTGGGGTGGTTTGGTTTGTTTAGGCTTTTTCCCCCACTGACTCGGCCTTCCGTGCATAGTCCGTGTTGTCCTACAGGACTGTTCTGGTTCTGGGTCAGAGAGAGAGAAGGGAAGTGGCTTTTCCTCATCTGGAATGTTTCCAAGCAGAAGTGGGGTGTCGTCCTGCCCCTCCCCAAAGCACTGCAGGCACCTGGGAGTAGCTCAGGGCTGGCCCAGTTCTCTGAGACAGAACCATGGGGGAGAGGTTTAAGTATTAATCACATCTCTGGTGTCTTTTGGTTGCAAAGATTGGGTCCTCCAGTCCCAGAGTGTTAAGGAAAACAAGGAACTCCTGTTCTTCCTGGCAAACCTTCTGTTATTGCTTGTGCAGTGTTTGGGTTCTGTTGTCTGAGTTCCTGTCCAGGATCGTTCTAAGAGAACCTGTTAGAAATGTAGAGGTAGGATTAGAATTTGGGTCTGTTGCCTACCCAACTGCCTCCAAGTCCCGATGGACTGGAGTGATGAGTGCTCTCAGCCCAGGGTATTTCTTAATGTTGTGGCTTTCCCTCAGCTGTGGGTGAGGAATTGTGCAAGCAAGGCCTGTGTGCCCGTGGATGTCTCCCGTGTGTGTCCGTGTGGCAGGGCTGGGACAAGGACTCGTGCAGGGACCGAGCTGGCACTGGAGCTGCTGCCATCCTGAGCCATTGCCAAGGGGTGGGTAGAGACCATCTGGGAGGCTGTTGCCAGGGTTCCATTGGGAGCTGGATCTCCCTCCAGCTGCAGCAGCCAGGGGAGGGTTCTTCCTTGTGCAGCCCAGTGGCTTCTGCTCAGGCTGGCCCAGAGTGGGGCTGGGGCAGGTTCTCCAGGGAACTGGAGCCAGCCCTGAACGGGGCTCTGGAGAGCAGGGAGCTGCAGGGACTGAGGTTTGCAAAGCTGGGCTGAAGTTTGTCAAAGCAGCAGAAGATTGTCGTTCCTGTGGGTTTGTGGAGTCCGTGTTGGTGCCCAGGAGAACTGGGTCAGACTGGGCTTTGTGGTCCGAGAGCTGCAGCCCTAAATTTGGCAGGCTGTGTGTGCTGGCAATGAAGTGCTGTCCCCAGAGGCTGATGGTTTCTGTCTCCAGGGATGCCCAGGACGCTGCTAATCCCGAGGGATCTGCTCTGGGTCCAGGCTGTCCGTGCTGGAGGGCCCTGGTGGCTGCAGTCCCTGAGCCCACAGAGACAGAGAGAGCCCCGGCCCGAGTGGCCTTTGGCACCTTGTCCTGAATTTGGGGTGAGCCTGGGAGCATGTGGAAGGTGAGAATGAGGGCTGTGTTTCCAATGCATCATCCCTGGGAAGATCCTGTTGTTCCAGAGCGCCGGGGACAGTTTGGGCCTGGCAGCTTCAGAGCTGGGTTGGAGCAGTCCCTGAAAAGAATCAGGAGAGTGGAGTTTTGTCCCAGTGCTGCTTTCACGCCCCACTTGGCAGTTCTGGGCTTTGTGTTTGAGGTTGTCCTGTATTTGCTCTGCAGATGATGGGCCCTTCCCAATTCAGCCCAGCAGATCCCAAGGGCTCTGACAGGAATATTTGTTCTTTCCTTCCCTTTGGGATAACTTCATCTCCCAACTGCCATGAGCAATTCCTTAATTTCTTCTGGAGAAAACCAAGTGTCAGAGGCAGTTTGCCAAGGAGGCCAGAAGTGTCTTTGGAGCAGAGAGTGCTGTCTTTGGGCACTGACCATTAGAGGGAACAAACCCACTGCCTGCCAGAGGGTTTGTCCTGGGCCAGTCAGGCCTTGGGCAGGAATTGGACTGGGCAACTCCGTCAGCTGCTCTTCCCCCACCAAGCCCCATCCCCTGGGCATTAATGACGTGCCCTGTGCCCAGCGCTCCCTGTTCACCCAGCTGAAACCAGAGCAAGGCTTGCTTTGCTTTGAATGACTTAAAATAACTTGAAAACAAAATAAATCACTTCTGTCTTCTTTTTTTTCTTTTAGATGCTGGAATTGCCTCTCTGGCTGTGTGCTGAGCTCTGGCTGCAGGGGACTGTCAGGCCTTGGTGGCTGTAAGTTCCTTTTCTTCTCCCTGGGAAACTGGAAATAGTTATTCATTAGATTGCAGAAATGTAATTCTGAGGGGACCCAACAACTGTTTCTGAAGGAAAAGGTGAGGTGCTGCAGAGGGGAGGGAGGTGGCATTTTGGAGGGGTCCCACTGAGGGGGGAGTGGAGAGCCTGGGTCTGGAGTGTGAGTTATTAAACAGGGAAGAAGGGAAGGATGCTTGGGAGGGAAACCCTCAGGGAATGTGTAGGGATGGAATGGAAATTTAGGGTGTCAGGAAGAGATAATGGGTGATGTAGAGGAAGGGAAATGTTGGGGGCAAGAGTTGATCTCATCTGTAGAGGACAGAAGGACCATTTAGAGGTAAAGTGAGGCAGTGAGTGGTGGGCAGGTCGGGAAAATTTGTGTTTGTCAAATTTCAGGTCACCTGTAGCAGAGAGGATGTACATCACGATGGACACTGAGGCAGTCAGGGGTGGGCAGGATGGGGGGAAACCTTTGGGGTAAAACTTGAGGTCACGTCAGGGCAGAGAATGAATATTTTGAAGGATAAATGAGGTACTCAGTGGTGGACAGTTGGGGAGTGTTTTAGGGTAAACTTGGGGTAGCCCACAGAGTAGAGAATGAACATGTATTTGTACAGAGGAGCTGATTACATGTGGGTAGGTAAGGAGAATTTTGGGAGTAAAATCTGTAGCAGAGTGAATGAATATCTTGGTGTGAAGTGAGGCAGTCAGTGTTGGGCAGGTAGGGAAAAATTCTGTTTGTCAAATTTGAGGTCACGTGGAGCAGAGAATGTACATCCTGAGGTAAACTGGGGTAATCAGTTGTGGACTCGTAGGGAAAATTGGGGGGGAAATATCTGAGGTAATCTGCATGGTAGAGAATGAATATTGAGAGATGAACATGAGGTACTCAGTGGTGGACTTGCAGGGAAAAGTGTGGGGGTCAAATCTGTGGCAATGTGCAGCAGAGAGAAGGAACATTTTGAAATAAAGTGAGACAGTCAGTGGGGGAGAAGCAGAGAAATTTCTGAGTGTGAAACTTGAGCAAATCTGGAGGGCAGAGAATGAATATTTGGAGGTCCAAAAGAGGTAATCAGGAGTGTGCAGTAGGGAAGATTCTGAGGGTTAAAAAGAAGGTAATCTCTAGGGTAGAGAATGACTCTTTTGTGTTCAAAAAGAGGTAATCAGGAGTGGGCTGGAAGGGGAAAGTTTGGGGGATAAAAAGGAGGTTCATTCTCTCCAGGGCAGGGAATGAACACATTGAGGTAACCTGAGGTGATGAGTGGTGAGAGACACAGATAATTGTGGGTGTTAAAGTTCAGGTGATCTGCTGGGAAGAGAAGGAACCTGTTGAGGTAAAGATGAGGCACTCGGTGGCAGACAGGTGGGGAGAGGTTTGAGATAAGCCTGAGGTGTCTGTGGGGTGCAGAGTGACCCTCTGTAGGTACAAAGGAGCTGGTCAGACGTGGACAGGTAAGGCAGATGTTGGGAGTAAAATGTGGGGCAATCTGTCCCAGAGAGAATGAATCTTTTGGGGTAAGGTGAGGCAGTCAGTAGTGGTCAGGGAGGGAAATCTTTGTTTGTCAAACCTGAGGTAATGTGCAGCAGAGAGAATGCACCACATGGGGTAGACTGGGGCAAACAGTAGTGGACAGGTAAGGAGGTTTTGGGGGAAAAATCTGAGGTCATCTGTGTGGCAGAGGACAAATCTTTGGAGGAAAAAATGAAGTAATAAGTAGTTTGCAGGCAGGGAAAACTGTGAGGGTAAGTGTGGATGTCACCTAGGGGAGAAAAGGAGCCTTTTGAGGTCCAGTGAGGCAGTCAGTGGTGGGCAGGGAGGGAAAATTTGTGTTTGTAAAATCAGAGGTCATGTGGAGGAGAGAGAATGCACCTCCTGGGCTAAACTGGGGTAAACCTTGCGGACCTCCAGGGAAAATGTGGGGGGTAAAACTTGTGGGAATGTGCAGGGCAGAGAGTGAATCTTCTGAGGTGAAAATGAGTTCCTGGGTGGTGGAGAGGTGGGGAAAGTGTTGAGAGTAAACTGGAGGTGGTGTGCTGGGTAGAGAATGAACATCTTGACGTAGAAGTGAGTTGCTGAGATGTGGAGAGGTCGGGAAAATGCAGTGGGTCCAGTGTGAGGTGACCTGTAGCAGAGAGGATGTACCTCCTGCTGGACACTGAGGCAGTCAGGGGTGGGCAGGAGGGGAAACCTTTGGGGGTAAAACTTGAGGGAACGTCCAGGGCAGAGAGTGAATATTTTGAAGGATAAATGAGGTACTCAGTGGTGGACAGCTGGGGAGTGTTTTAGGGTAAACAGGAGGTAGCCCACAAGGCAGAGAATGAACATGTATTTGTACAGAAGAGGTGATTACATGTGGGTAGGTAAGGAGAATTTTGGGAGTAAAATCTGTAGCAGAGAGAATGAATACCTCGGGGTAAAGTGAGGCAGTCAGTGTTGGGCAGGGAGGGAAAATTTCTGTTTGTCAAATTTGAGGTCACATGGAGCAGAGAATGTACATCCTGAGGTAAACTGGGGTAATCATTTGTGGACATATGGGGAAAATTACAGGGGTAAAATTTGGGGTAATGTTCAGGACATAGAACGAATATTTTGAGTTAAAACTCTGGGGGTTTTGAACGAGGTTATCTCCAGGGGAGAGAAAGGACATCATGAGGTCAACTGAGGGAATCAGTGGTGGCCAGGTAGGGACATTTAGGGCAGAAATCTTCGAGGTAATCTCCAGGGTCCAGAATGAATCCTGAGAGGTGCAGAGGAGGCAATCAGGAGTGGACACCACAGCAGGCCAGGGAAGGTTCTGGGGATAAAATGTGTGGCAGTGTCTGGCAGAGAGAATGAACATTTTGGGATAAACTAAGGCAGTCATCAGGGGACAGGTAAAACTTGAGAAACTCTCCAGGGTGGAGAATGAATATTTGGAGGTCAAAAGGAGGTAGTCAGTGATGCGCAGGTAGGGAAAGTTTTGAGAGTAAACTTGAGGTGGTCTGTAGGGTAGAGCATGAACATATTTAGGTATACATGAGGTGATCAGCTGTGGAGAGGTAGGGAAAATTGTGGGAGTCAAATCTGTGGCAATGTGCAGCAGAGAGAAGGAACATTTTGGAAGAAAGTGAGGCAGTCAGGAGGGGAGAGGCAGAGAAATTTCTGAGGGTGAAACTTGAGCAAATCTGCAGGGCAGTGAATGAAACCAGAGCAAGGCTTGCTTTGCTTGGAACAACTTAAAATAACTTTAAAACAAAATAAGTCACTTTTTTCTTCTTTTTTTCTTTTAGATGCTGGAATTGCCTCTCTGGCTGTGTGCGGAGCTCTGGCTGCAGGGGACTGTCAGGCCTTGGTGGCTGTGAGTTCCTGTTCTTCTCCCTGGGAAACTGGAAAGAGTTCTTCATTAGATTGCAGAAATGTTTTCTGAAACCTGTCCCCTTCTTTGTGCCTTTTGCTGACAGATCTTCTCCTTCTGCCTTTCAATTTACAGCCTCCTTGCAGCTCCCAGCTGGGAAAACCTGGGAAAACTGAGGAGGGACAGAGATGAAGGTTTTATCTGCAGATTTAGGGCAATTTCTAGGGGATACAGCAACTGTTTGTGTGGGAAAGTGTGTTAAACCACATTGGCCCAAGTTGTGTTTGCACCAGCTGGGGCCAGAGGTGCCAGGCAATCCAAAGCAAACCCTGCTCAGCCTCCAAATCCCAGGGGAAGTTCTCCAAGCTGCTCATTGACGGACTAAAGATACATTGAAATGGAACCAAGAGCACTAATAAGTTTCCTGAGAATCCCAGTATTGCTGTCCTAGAATTTTTAACAGTTTTTTAAGCTTTTTATGACAATAATGGCTTTCTTCCTTTGATTGAGTCCCTCAGTAGGATTAGGGATTTCTTTGGATTCTGAATCCCTCCCAGTGGCCCTGACACTGGTCAGAGCTGGCAGGACAAACAGAGTCAGAGCTCCTGGCAGGCACAGGGGCTTTCCCCCAGAGTGGATCCAACTGCTGCCCCCCAGCCTGGCCAGGCGGGATCTGCTTTGGCTCCCGGCTTCTGCCAGAGACAGAAGGTGTTCCCTTGATTGGAATGAGGATCGCGTAGCTTCATCTCCTGGACGTTCCCTGGGCAGCTGATCCACTCTGCCCCATGTCCTGCTCTCAGTTCCTGCCCAGCCAGAGCCATCTGTGCCAAGGGCACGAGCACTCCCAGCCTGGATAGGGAATGGGGGACTGGCTTGTGCACAATTCACCTAGAAAGTCAAACGAGGGGGTTGTTGGGCAGCGGCTTTGGCCGACACGGCAGCACAAAGATTGTTCTCTGCAGGGGGCCCAGGTTTGGGTTCCGGTCTCAGCTTTGCAGGTTTGGATGAATTCTACCTACAGCCCGCGCAATTCCATGCCGAATTCCTGCTGCAACAGCCTCCCAGTGCCTCCTGGAGCCCGGATGTTCCCCCGCAGAGCTGCTGCTCTAACGCCAGGTTTGCCAGGAAGCAGCCACGGTTCCAGGTTTGCTCAGCGGGATCGGGACAAGGACAGGTTGATATTCCACAGACTTTGCTGTTTCTAACCCTCCTCCCCCAGCCCCGCTGGTGTCCCTGGGGGGACTTGAGCGAGTTCGCTGGAATTCGGCCGCTTTTCCGCCCCGGGCCGGGCTCCAGGGGATGTGTTGGCCCAGGAGAAGGCGGGGGCCGGACGCGCTCCCGGCCCGGGGCGAGGCAGCCCCTGAGCACGGGCGAGGACGTCTCTCCGGGCGGGAAGCCGCTGTCCCTTCGGAGCCTCGGGAGCGGCCCCGGGGAGTTCTTTTCCCCGAGGAAAGGGATGCACAGCCCTGCCTTCAGGGCACCTCGGCTCTGACCCACCTGTTCAAGCTGTCCACGGGTTCTGCAGGTGCGGTTGGGTCCCCGAAAAACTGCGAATTGCCTCCGAGCCCGACTTTCTCCGAGCATCCCCTTTTCTTTTCAGGCATCTCCGAGGGCTCTTGCTCGGGATTTAGTGCCGCTGAGGGCACATTGCCCTGGCTTTAAGGCTGCTGCTGGCTGCTGGCCTCCGGCTGGAAGGGCAGGGATTTGGGGCGGGCGGGACACACGTGGGGGGCGCGGGACAGCTCTGGGAGGTGGGCCCTGGGAATGGCTGCCCGCGCTGCTCTGCAGCCCCGCCGTGCCGACACTGCCGAGTGCCAGCTGGATTCTTTGGGTCCTTTGGGGCTGTCGCTGGGGCGTGTCCAGGGTGAGGCATCTCAGGGGGCCCGTTCAGAGCAGCCCCCGGCTGAGGAGCCGCGGGCAGTCCTTTCCCCGTGCCCACCCCGGTGCCCGTGGCTGGTTCCCCCCCCTCGGATGTGCGTTTGGCGGACGAGCCCTGCTCGGGAGACAAATCCATCTTGTGCCCGATGGAAGCGCTGGCCCGGGGCTGCTCCATCCCTGCTGCCAGGAGCTGTGCTGGGAGTCCTGCGGCTGCGGGCGGGATTGCCTGAGCTCCGGACGCTCCGGAGCGCCGGGAGCCCCGGCAGGGCAGGGCAGGGCACAGCTCCTCCATCCCCTGGCAATAGGAAGCCCAAGCAGGGCTGGGTCACTGTCTGTCGCTCCGGCCTCCTCCCGGCCCGCGTTCCCTGCCCAGTTGGGACTGCCCAGGGAGCCCCGAGAACGTTCCTGGCGGGAAGCGGGAGCCGCCGAGGGCTCCGTCCAACTCCGGGCCCGAAAATCGGCCCCGACCTGAGCCCCCCCCGGCATTTTGGGTTCCGAAGACTCACCTGGAGGAGACACCCCCCCGCAGGCGGGACCAGGCGGCGACACTCGACCGACGCCTTTGCCTCGGAGCGAGGGATCCCTCCCGACTCGGTTGGCTCCTTTATCCTTGGAAATGAGCTCGGACGTCACACGAGCACCTTTGCAGCCATTGGGCGAATCCCGGACAGGGCCGGAAAACCTCCCTGAGCACGGCAGCGATGAATTGGTGCCCGTCCCCAGCCGGGCACAGCCCAGCCGGCCGCGCTCCCTCCGGCCCGTGGCTGGGAAGGGGGGATTTAATGCTGCAGAGATTTAATAAAAGCGGATTTCCTGACTGTATTTGCCTGCGCTTCTTCCCTCCTTTGACTCGCGCGGCACCGTCCGGTTGGAGCGTTTCTTGGTTTCCTCCGCTATAGTCGTTTCCCTCCCAGGCAGGACCTTCCCCGTCTGCAAATAAAGATGGGGGATTTTTAAAAAGCAGAGGGTTTGCCCCGGGAGGGTACGAGTTGCCGAGGAAGCGGGGGAGAGGAAGGAGAACCTCAGGTCTCACCTGGCAGGTGTCAGAAGAGCCGCACCTTCTGGATGGCAGGGCAAAGAACTGCTGTCGGCAATTCCCGAAGTTCCGCAGGCAGAGCTGGGAGCAGCCTGTGCCCGACCCGCGGCACGGTCAGCGCCAGCTCCTGGGGCCGCCTGAGGACAGACACAGGGACACGGGGACAGACGGGCAGCTCTGCTCGGGGTCCCGGAGCACGGGAGGAACGAGGGAGCGGCTGCCCCCGTTCTTCCCTGCCCCGGCTCCCCGCGGCCGGAGCGGGCCCGTGGCCGGAACCCAGGCGGGCCCCAGAGCCCTCGTTCCCGGGGGGCCCTGCGGGCGGGAACCTCCTGGGGCCGCGGGGAAGGGGGAGGCGGGCGATGTTCTTCGGTGGGGGGGGGTGCGGTGGCCTCGGGGGTGCCCGAGAGGGAGGAGCTCCGATCCCGCGGGGGGTGCGGGCGGCGCTGCGGGCCCGGCGGGATCGGGGGGTCCCGGGGCCGGCCCGGCGTGTCCCCGCGCCCCGGCCGGTCCCGGCCCGGGTTCCGCGTCTGTACGAGGGAAGCGCCGCCGTTCTCCCCCACCCGGGCCCCGGCAGAGCCCCGGCCCGAACTGCCCTGCCGAGCTCGGCCCCAGCGCCCACCCCGCAGCGAGTCCAACGATGCCGATCCCCGTACCGCTGCCGAACCCCATCGCAGCTCCAAGCCAGCCTCGGTCCCCCGGTGCCGTCCCCGCTCAGCGCCCCGAGCTCGGCGCAGCGCCGGGAGCAGCCGCCGGGCCGGGACTCCGGCCCCGAGCGCCGATCGCTCCCGCAGCATCCCGGTACGAGCTTCTTCCACAAACGCGGGGCGACCGCGGCTCTGCCGGCTTTGAACGGCCCGGGCGGGGCGGGGCCGGGGCGGGGCCGGGGCGGAGCGGGGCCCGCACAGGTGTGCGAGGTGAGACCCGTCCAGGTGCGCGG